ATTACTGATGCTAGTCAGTGCACAACAAAAATCCCAATAGCTCTATGCATAAATTAACCAAAACCGAAAGAGAGCAGGAGAATGAGCTGCAGAGTGCTATTTTCCATTAAGATCCCCAAGCTCGGTTTGTCCTCCGTTTTTATGATTATTTATTCACTTGATTGCTTTTGGCCTTTCACTGTTCTCTGAACCGCTCGACTCTCTGCTAACCTCGCTTCAGTTCTTTTATTTTGATTAATCATCGAGAGGGCTTACCTTGTGCCAGCTCTTCTTCACCTCAGCCTTGCCCTGCAATCCCACAGCGCATCCCCTTTCCATTATGCCCCCCTAAAATTCCCAATCAAGCGTTGCATTGGCATTGCACAACAACAACATCAGGCACAATTGATGCCTGACGGAATGCACTAAGAAAAATATTGAGATTTTATGGACGGATTAAAAAGTTGTCTTTAATAAGTTGTAGATCAACAAGTATGGCAACAGGTTCTCCGTTGGAACCAAGCTGGCTAAGTATGAAAGTGTTATGTTAAATACACTAATTTTTCAACAGTCGAATTCTCTTTGAAAATACAAAATAAAATAGGAAATGCATAGTACATACACAGATAGAAAATTGACAAAAGATCAGATCGATAAGTGCTGGTCAATTTTTTTTATTTTTTAAAGATCAAGTTATTCATATCATTTTAATATGAATGGAGATTATGATTTTATATGATAAGTTAAATTATCATTTTGATATTTTTGCATCATAAATTTGACATAAAACATATCGGCTTTTTATTGATATATTTTAAGGTTCAGTGTTTCATATCGAATTTTATTTCTGTGTAGTATTTTTCCGTGTAACTTCACTGCATTTCATCTCCCACGGCAGGAATTTCTTTGTTATTTGTTTGGCTGCCTGTTTAGGGGAAATTGCTGCTGCTGGTTGCAAACAAACGTGATTTCCTTTGGCTGTTGGTATAAACAAAGTTTTTCAAGTGCTTTCTTGGGGCATTATTTCTTTGCCCAACTGTACAGGGTGCCAATGCGATTGCTCTTACCAAAACTCTTCCATTGAATGACTAATGCAAAAGCCACATTTCTTTTCCGGGGTTGGCCGGAAAACTCACCCTGGTTTAGTTAAGTTAGGGAAATAGAGTCATAAATAACATGAGTTGCCCTCGAAAACGCTTTGTTTCAGTATTTTTGTCTCTGGAGTGGTGAATACAAAAGTAATTCCTTGCACCACCCCTCGTTTTTGTGGTGCAATTAAACCTTCTTTAATTTGGGCTTAATCTCCGCAATGCAATGGTCATACACGTATGTATGAACCAACCAACCCCTCACGAGGGAAATTCCGGGCACGTGGCCAGGTCAAAAGTGAATCAGCGAAGCCGCCACGCTGCACGTGTCCTCTTTCTGCTACAATTATATAGTAATGACCCACTCAATTCAAGGCAAATCCATTTTTATCGATTTCTATTTAAGTTATTGGTGGGAGTTGGTAATATTATTGCATTTTAGTGGGAACAAAGGCAGCTAAATTAATATGAAATACAAGATTTTTTGTATTAAACATATCCTCCATTTTATTTCAAAGTGCCTAGCCTATTATACAATGGATTTCTTCTCTTCAAACGTGGAAAATACGTTCTGCAAGTACATCATAAATTGACAGTTTGCCTCATTCATCTATTATTTCTTAATTGCTGCGGGGTATCCTCTCCTTCAGCTTGTCTTTAAAGTAGATTTCCTGGAGTCTATATACCCCTTTGTCAAGCTCTCTAAACACGTTCTATGGAGGCGACGCAATTTATGCAAATGTCGTTCAATTCAAAGTCCCCAGACCAGGAGAAAGACTACTACTAATATATGCATGCTCAGAGGCTTCCGTTACGAGACGAGAACGAGAGAATTAGAGAATCAGAGAAATAAAGAAGTATATCGGAGAAGCTCGTTCCATTTAAATTCTTTTGACCTGACTCAATCAAGAGAAGCTTGATGTCCAGTTCGACTCAGTGAGGTTCTGAAAATTCTGTAAATTGTGTTGAGCCTCAATTAAGACGATCATTATGACTGACCACTTGAGTTACCGCATAGTTAGAATCTAACTACTTGGCACTTGCATTTTGATGCAGTGCCATTCAGCCGGATACTTGATTCTGGCCAAGTTGAGCCGGCTCCCACGCTCTTAGCCAAGCCCATTTAAGACCCCAACAATGCCGCATATTAATGATCCTCCTGTCTTGCCTTTTGCTTGTGATAATGATAATGGTAAGTTGTTCAACTTGGGTAAACAAAGGGCGTGATAAAGAAAACAAGCCAGACCTCTATCTGTTTTTGGGGGCGTGCCTTAAGATGTCCCAAGAAAGGCATGGGAATTATATAAAGTCATGTAAGCTGACAGGAAGTGTAAGAATTAAGTCAAAACAAACTATAATTTGGGAATTTTTATTAAAAATATTGAAAAAATCGAAATAATAATATTTTATTATGATTAAATATTTTTCATCCACTGCTTGTTATAACGCACACAAAATGAATTTTTATCTGGATATATAATAGTTGAAAAACCAAAACCATAATTTCCTCCGAGCTAAAGGCACATAATTATATTTTTTGGATAATTATCTAGCCAACCTCCTACTCATTTTTGAGTAACGAGCCTTACCTCATCTAACCACTTACTTTCGGCCATTTCGGTCTGTGGCTGAGGTTGCTGTTTTGCCATATAATTGCGCAAATGACATAAAAATTGTTAAGAAAACGCAAGCAGTTGGCAACACAAAATCGAACAATGGCAACGGCCTCAGCGCAAACAAGAAACGAGTTGCCAAAAGAAGTGTTGGCCAGAATATGGAGGTTCGAGTTTGGGTTCGAGTTTGGGTTCGAGTGTGCGCTTAAGGCGCTGACCTTTTGGGGCCAGAATTGATGACAATGAAATGTACGTAAAAAGTAAATACATTCAGACATGAAAAAAGATTTAACAGTACCAAGAAGCGTTGGAACAAATTGTGACCCACAAAGAGGCTTTTTTTCCATGAGGTAAAGGGAAAAAGTTAAAGAAGAAAGTTTTTTACTGGCCAGATAAATCTGCCACAATGAGAGTAAAAGTAAAGCACGCCACTGCATTTAAAATCGATTTTTACTTTCTGCTTTTCTTTGTATTTAGTATTTTTTTTTTTTTTAGCTGTTTGTGCGGACAAGGGCCAAACGAATCATTTGAGTTGGTAAATTTAGTGCTACGTGAGTGAAGGCAATCAGTGAATTTGCATGGAAAGTGCTGCCCTAGGGGCGCCTTTTCTATCTGGGAACTACGTGAGATTTTGATAAAAGCGACACTTAGAGATAAGCTAAATGCCCAACCTGCCAATAGCCAAACACCCCGGATGGCACTCATCAGAAATGGGCAAAACAAAGCGAAAGCCACTCCACAGATAACCGAGTGGCAAAAGTGCCTCACGGGGTTCAAGGAGGGGATTTGGGTGGGCAAAGATGTCGCAGTCTATATCGATATCTCTGTCTACAATTCGACTCTGTCGCAATCCAGAGGCCCTGCAACGAATCTCTACTGGAAGTGGCCAAACCAGCGACAAAGTCAACAAAATAGAAGCTGGTTTTTCAAGGTTGTTCAGATGGGCGAGAGTTTAATAAAGGCGGGGGGGTTGGCCAAGGAAATGGAAGAGGGCACAGTGGTTATTAAATAATAATCTTGGAAAATATTCCACTGAAAGGCATCATCTTGATTTATTTACTGCTAGCTGTAAAACCCTTTAATCAACTTTTTGTTTATTAGTTCCCAGAATATACATGATTAACTGATATTAATCAATGCAGTTAGTGAACAAACAAAGGCTCTTTACAATTTTTTTGAAAATCCGTCAGTTTCAAGATGGCTTGTTTCGATACTAAACAAATATTGACAATAAACGTAAGTAATATTCTACATTAATTATTTTCTACAATATAATTTTTTTATATAGCACATTAAAAGTTTTCTTTACTATGGAATCCCATTTGCATTTATTTAATGTGAATTTAATAGAGCTTTTATGAGTTTCGATTTGGAAATAGCCCAACCCAAAGTGACTCACAAACTGGTAGTTTATCTAACTAATTTCCTCATTCCATTTGTGGCTTGTGGTACCAACACTTGCTCATAATGTTATCTATTTTGCCAAAATAAATTTAACACATTCTTTTGCCGAGCTTTTTTAGCCACTGTACTTGTGCGTGTTTGTTGTCTGAACTTGATTAGGCAACAAACTCGATTCGAGAGCAGCAAAGAATATTGATTGGAGTCGGTTTAACCCAACTGTTACCGAATTAAAGTGAATAGAACTATAACATAACATAAAATAGCTTTATAAATTTGTTAGTTGACTAGGTAATGGATAATTTTTTATAGCTATCTTTAATGGTATTTTTTATTATAACAAGGGTAGTTTTTTTTTTATTAATTTACATACATAAATATATACTTTTTCTTTACTCGATAAAAACACTACTTGTAACTGAAAACGAAAACATGTTTGGAAACATCTGTTTATATTTAATAGTCTGTTACCCCAATAGACTCTACCATCTGACAACATTAGTAGGTATGAAATAAATATTGAATGACAATATTTTCATTTTTTAATTGTTAAGATAAAAAAATATGTATTATAGTGAAACCTAATTATGATATTATTTTTAATTTAATGCTTTGTAAAATATGGCTTAGTAGCCTAAATAGTTTTTTAAAGATGGATTGAAAGTAAATTTTCAGCAGTTTAACCTTTTCATTTTTGAAATCCAAAGTAGTGACTTTTTAAAAATTTGTATCTAAAATATCTAGATTTCTATTCTATTAAATTAAACATCTAGTTTTAAATCCTTATAAAATGTCTACTATAGTAACCAAAATGTCACAAATGAGAATTTTTTTGTATGTTTGGTTTTTTTCACCTGTGGGCTGGTAGGAACAAACAAAGGTTGTATGTTTTCCCCCAGGACTTTTCCAAAACACTCACCTTTTGGCTCTGGGAACGTTGTCGCTTCCGCCGGCTGAAGAATGTGTGGTTGCAAGCATGTGTTGAGCAGCAGCAGCGGTAGCAACAGCAAATGCAAGTGCAACATCTTTAGATCGTTGCAATATAGCTGATGTTGCTGCTGTTATTTGTTGTTGTTGTCGATGCGGGGAGATATTTGCTTTTTTGCTGGCGATAGTAAAACTTGCTGATGCCGCGGGGCCAAATGTGGTGACATCACACTTCCTGCTGCATCTTTTGATTTTGAGTTTTGGGCGGGGTGTTTGTTTTAAAACAGGATGGGGACTTTCGAAAGAATTTCTCTTGCAACATTCGCAAAAAAACCGGGCTCTTTAAGAACAACAACTAAATCACGCGCGTAAATCGAGAAGAGAACAAAAAGAAACACACATTCAGAAATTGCTGCTGCTATTATAACGGCTTTTGTTTGGCTATCTGTTGTTGGCTCTCTCTTTTTCCTGGCCCACTCTCCTCGCCTCTCTCTCGTTCGTGCTTTGCAGAACTTTTGGCCTTGCCTTCCTTTGCTATTGGAATTTTCTGATCTGCGAGGCGTCTGGGGCTCGCGCAAATCACACTTTAATTGAAGCTCGGCATAAATTCGATTATACGGCACATTCAAATTGGTGCCAGTTTTGCCTTTATTTTCGGAGGCTTTAATTCAATTTGCTCTTAGCACAATCGCTTCACACACACACGAAATGCACAGACACACACACGCGAGGAGAGCAGAGCGACGCAGCTCTGTTTCGTTCCCTGCCCGATTTTGTTTTGAATCTCGAGATTATACATATGCACAAGGTGACCATTTCGGTATTGCCGTTTTTTCCTTGATTTGTTAAAAATACCTCACTTAGCAGAGACAGCTTTATGTTAGCGGATGCACCCACCCTCCGGTCTAGAAAAGGAGTTGGCAGCCCTCAATAAAGAATACCCAGCTGATAGAAGGCGGGAAAAATTAAAAGCATTTTGTTGAGATTACATTACTTACAGATTGTTATTCTGGGTATTCCCTAAATTGTTGAGTTGTTGAAAATAGAGGGTACCACATTAAGTGGTTGAATTTTCAAACAGCTGTTATTTGATTACGAATTTCAAGGAACCCTAATCATGTAAAATTGTGTTTTGTATTGCCAGATACTATCTAAAATACGATAATGCAGGTGCCTAAACTGTTACAGCGTTATTGAATTGATGCCATTTCTGAAAATTTAATTTGCATTGAAGAGCTGTTTAACACTTGACCAAAATTTAACATTCAGCAAATCAAGAGTTACGGTAGTTTCCTATTTGGACATTATTTCTTATTATTTTGGTTTTAGATATGCATTCTGAGGATTATCGAAGGGAATAAAGGGCAATAGCAATACGTTTACAACTAATACTAAGTCTAAAGTGACTTCATTACCAGTCAAATTTTACAAAACTGTTAAATCGATGCAGAGGCAAAAAAAGTGGTGAACATGGATTGGAATCATTTTTAAATGAGCCCGCTCAATGAAAGTGTTAGACTAGTTATCCCGCTCACACACACAGCAGTTCCCGCAGCTGATGCTTGATACGTTAGCCAACAGAGAGCCCTTAACGGTCGTTTAGCAACATATTTACATTACATTTTTCCATTCGATTTAAATCTTCTGTAATCTTTTTTGTTTTAAATAAACTGTTTAAAACGTTTAAATTCAAATTTCTGTTACTGTGGTATTTAGTAGAAGTGCTTTAACATTTCTGTTAAAATAATGTTAAAATTTCGGTGTGACCTCTCACCGTTCAGGCAAAGTCGCCGCGACTCGACTGGTCACACATCGGCATATATGTTTGTATGTACACAGAAACTCGGTTCAAAACAAAATCGGGCAGCCAACGGAAACGTCGCGGACGGACGTCTTCGCCTTCGTGTTTTGTGTTTGTTGTTAGCCACCCCCGCCGGCAACTCCACGCCGCCCCTGCGTGCGAACGGGTGTTTTTACTGTTTTGCTGAATGAAAAGGATCGAATATCCCGGTTATTAAGGGCCCACTGTGCCGTGTGAATACAATGAATCCTACAGAATGCATTCGCAGCACGGACAGTTCATGAGAATTTGACATTTAAGTGCAAAACTGCAGTTGGGCTTTGGTTTTTTTGGTTTGTGGCGTGGGCTTAGATTGGCGGACACACCCACCCGAAAACAAAAACAAAAAGTAGTCCAAAGGCCCCAATAATTGCGCGTGTGTGTGTGAGTGTTTGCGTGCTTTTGTGTGTGTGCGAGTGAGAGGAAAGGGATTCGAATGGAGCCGGTTTTCGCGAGTTAATTGACAAAGCAAACAGCGAAAAAGCACACAGCAAACATAAGCAAACAACGGAAAAACTAAACAAAGTCGATTATAAAACACTGCCGACATGCTACAAAACACAGTGCAAAAATAAGAATTTTAAATCTAATCATCCTGCGGATGCGAGGGAGACCACAACAATGCTCAATACTCTATAATTAGCTCCGATATATCCACCCCAAACATCATGGCCAAAACCCCCCTGCCACCCCGTCCCCTCAAAAATATGGCCAAGTTCCTGGCAGCCCTCGGCATCTGCTTTTGGCTCTTCGTTTCGGCCACCGCTCACAACTGTCAGCATCAGCATCCAAAGGCCCATGAGGTGAGTCCAAAAAAGTTTGGCTTTTGCATTGGTTTTCTCTCTTTCTTTCCCCCCCTTTTTTTCTTCTTCTTCTTCCATTTCCAAGCCAAAACAAATAATGATAAAAGGGCTATTTCGGGAGACTGAGTTTTTCTCACCTGCACACGTGTGCGAAACAACTCCAAGGGTCTCGACCGCAACTATTTCACAAAATCGATTCCAGCTTAAATGGTCTTTCGAATTCCTGAAAGGGATTTTTGGAATGTTGCTACTTTAACCGAAGGTTTTGGAATTCTTCTTAACCCAAGGTTAAACATCTTAAAAAAAAATTTTAAGAAAAAAAAACAGATTAACTTTGATTTCTTAGAGCTGGTAGTGTTTAACTTACGGGTGGTGTTTTACACAATTCTAGGAAATCAATTTATCCCAACTTTGAAATAACTTTTCCTAAAATCTGAGCAATACGTCGAAACAACGTACCTAAGTTAATACATAAATATACACTGATAAAAAATAAATTAAGTCCAAAGAGTTCATATTTAACATAAATATTTTGTTGCTATGTTTTTCATATATTGCGGTTTTCGATAACTTTAAATGTGGCTAACATCTAATATTTTCTACCTTAATTTAAATAATTTAAAATTAAATCTGGCAATTCAATGTCTTTTAAATATTACTTGTTTTATTAAATTCAAATAAGTAAAACAAACCTTTGAATTCAAAATAGGGACATTTATTTTTACTTTTCTATTTTTCTGTAACCTTAGGTTATACAAATTAAATACATTTTTATGAGTATAGTTATGGGGTTTTCCCTTAGTATCAGCTAAAATCAACTTTGGCAATGCAGAAATATTAAGATAGAAACTTGAGAATGCCTTTTGGTAAATTACAAGCCTTGTGAGGCAATTCGTTCGGCGTAGAAACAACATGAAAATGTCGTCCGTAGGCGAATGGCAAAATCCGTTTGGAAAAACCCAACTTGAACCAAAAAGCCCCACAATTACAGAAAATTGCGATTTTCGATGCTCAAATTTCTGGCTGGTTGTGCTGCCTTCAGGCCTTCGGCGTTGTGTCCTTTGAGCTCATTAGACCGAGTTCCTAATTGGTACTGTTTTTCACAGGAAGTTTATAATTGATTGGTTCTGCCAGGGAAAAGGCCTAATTAGTGCGGCACCGAGAAGAGCACTGAAATTGCCGTTCTCATGATTCTGCCATAGAAACAGAAATTGAAACAATAAGCAGGCGGCGATGGCAACCACAGCTTATTGACTAATTCCACCGGATAATAATATGCGCATTCGAGATTCAGCATTCAGTATTCAATGTGCAATGTGGTTTCAAGTCAGGTGGTAACTCATAACTGGTACCCCACCACGGTGGTTACCAAACCGCCTACATCACCTGCACCACATCCAGTGGCATAGTTAGGGTTTAATGTCAGACTCTGTCCGCCAACTTGTTGCTCTGGATTCTCCGATTCAGATTCAGATGCAGATGCAGATTCAGATCCAGTCGGGCTTTTGTTTTTTCTTAGGGGGGGTTGCTTACACACTTTACTGCTTTCCAATCAACGGCATTTTAATTGGCGCGTCGCCATAAATAAAGGTCGCAGTCAATTGCGCAAAAGGGGGAAATTTACATGATTACTGTAGCCAGTGCGGTACAGTGTGTCCTGGCCAGATGGAACTTTTCGCAAACCGGAAACTGCAGTCTCGCAGTAGGATAATTCAATATTTTCTGGCAGATAACTGATAAATAAGGTTTTTGTAAAAGGAAATTAATTATTGTATCATCAATTTAGAAAGAATGATGATAATAAACAAGTTTTCAATCAAGTAGTTATATTTTTGAAGCGAGATAAATTTTAAAAACTTTTTTAACTTAAAAAAAAGTGTAAAGAATTTTTGTTAGCATTAAAAAAAACAGGTTTTTATTAAGCTTTTATTTTGAAAGCCACTACTAACAGAACTTTTGAAATGGGAAAACTTATTTATTACACAACCTTCCTAACCACGCATTAATAAATGAAGCCACCGGGAAAATGTGGAAAAACTGTGCGACCACAAGGTGTTAATTAGCGAGTAACCACTTTGGTTTCGAGCAAGTAAAAGTGAACTCGAATGGCGGGGGAAATTAATTCAGCGACTGTCTGTCGATGGCTAACGATGCTGTCGAGGTCGCCCAGCGTGTAATTATATGAATTATCTGTAACTTAAACTGTTATAAATGCAGAAAACTGTCGGCCAGATTGTGTGTCTGCTGTCTCCAAGCTATATCTCCAAACGAAATGTTCTGTTGTCTGCCCACTTAAATTTATCCTGTCAGGAACAGTGATTGTGAAGGAGGATAAAGACACATGTACACATAACTGCGGGCAGAGTCCCCTGACCGAGTGGGCGAATGAACCCAGGAATACATGCTTCCACCTCCATCCAATCAAATACCGGTCCAGTCGCAGCACTCAATTCTAATTAGACTTATATAAATCGAAAGAAAGCAGCAAAAACTGCGACAGCGAGCGCTATAATGTGTAAAAATCCCCAAATTGAATCGTTTGTCACGTTGCCAGTGTGCGTGCCAGCCTGTCAGCGATGTCGCGGACTGTACTGACCCTGTAATCCGGTAAGCGCGAACCCGGAGTGCACTTTAAACTCACAATGGAATTTTGACTGAAAGTTCCGAAAAGCTGCTTGTT